CTGCCCGCGCTCGCTTACGAACGCTTGTGCATATGTCCTCAGCGTGACCTCACTTATAGCCGCAACTCGGCCCCAGGACAGTCTCGCTCGTGCGTGCCTCCTTTGTCCTCCCCTAAAGTCCGCCCTTTGAAGGTCGCGTGACTTGGCCCGTTCTGTATGCGCCGGACTGGCCTGTTTGCGCGCCTTTGTCCGGCGAGACCTCGGGTTGTCTGTCTGTCTGGATTACGTGCTCGGTCATCCTAACATATTAATTGTCAGAAAAGGCGCGGGCCAGAATAGTGAGTATCTCATGTCTTAGTAAGCGTGAAGATTTTTTGCCTCCGCAGCTCATTGGGCGAAGAGTGGGAAAATGACTGTTAGTATTTTTTATTCTTTCATGATTCTGTGCTGTATTTTCACCTGAATAGACGCACTTGAGGCCAAATGCTGTGCCAAGAGACAGTCGCAATAACTCGCATATTCTTTGTGGTTCTGTAGAAGTAAACAGTAATAAAAACAGAGAGTGAACACATTCGCAGTGATCGGACGAGCAGTCACGCAAATGCCGCAGACACTTGGCTGCCAGTTTATAAGGACAAGGGCAGGGAAAAAAGAACGAGGAGAGCCAACGAATGCGAAGGCAGCAAACGAGGTCAGGGACACAGGAGACCGCTTCGGCTAAGTCGGTTACTAACAGGCAGTTAGTAGTAAATAAAAACCTGAATATGACATTAACAGGCCGAATTTCACAATTACTGTATTAGTTAAATTGGTTAGGTCCCAAAACAGCAGTTAAATTTTCCGGTACAGAAGTAGCCGAGAGATGACTACTGGGGTAGGATTGGCCACGGTACGGACTGACGACCCAGATCTGTCTAACCGCGTTTGCCTATGTCATCACCAAGATGTGTATGCCCAGGCTTCTGAATGTGTTCGCTAGTTCCCAGTAAAATTCCATTAACATCAATTCGATAAATGGTGCTTTGATGGGCCAAGGTCCATCAATACTTTCTTGATCGGTTTGATCGGCGTATGCTTTGTTACGGCAGCCTATCACGCGGCTAATATCTAAACTAGCTGTCATGGCGCACCTTGAGATGGAAGAAGGCTGGCTAGCGTGGGTGCGCGGTCTTGCAGGCTAAAGGCGTCCGCGGCTGATCTTGGGTTCGAAGTGGCTGCTAGAGGCCACTACAAGCCTGCTCAATGGAGTGAAAACTACTGTTTTAGAGCCATCTGTTTGGTACCAAGCTATCGAGCACTAAGAGTTTCTATAATGTCTGTCTATAGTCAGTGTTTGAATTAATGTCACTTACCCGGCTCGGTTGTCATGGATGTCCTTGAAACGGAATAATTGTGGATTACGCTGATGGGTCGCTGCTGAACTTGGGTTTAATTCATTATTATCATGGTGGATGCCTGCATGCACGATGTTTATTTCACACATAGGATAGATGCTGACGGCAATCAGGCCCGAACTTGTGAAGGAAGAAGATTAGAATACCGGGAAGGGGGTTGCCGTACGATTACAAGAAGTGTCATGGAACTTTTTCCAGTGAAAGTGAAATCGCACGAATGATGCAAGGCCATCAGGCTTAATTGAGTGACCAGAAGCATTCTTCCAACACAGACAGGCATCCACTGGACTTGTGTTC